TATATATATATATATATATATATATATATATATATACACAACACACACACACACGCACGCACGCACACACACACACACACACACATACATATGATAAAACCCTTTCTCATTTTTTAATTCATTTACATAATAGATATATAATAATATTCTCTGCTTTCAAATCTCCATGTTGAACGGCATTTTCTGTTTTTTTAATTTTTTTAATTTTTTTAATTTTTTATTATATTTATGTCCCTTGAAAAGATACATGTGTTTGTACGCACACACACGCACAAAATATGTACGTCTTAATCTATATTTAAACAATGTGAGGTATCTATTGTTTTATAAAATGCAAGCCTATTCTAAAGATTATTCCTATATTTGATTTAATATTTATTCAATTTATTAGGTTTGTTCGCGTCACAATGCCCCAACATACTCCTACTCGATCCAATATGCTCCAATTTGTAGTATATGTAACGTAATATTGTGGATTGGAGCATATTGGAACGAATAGGAGCATATTGGAAAATGCGACGCGAACGAACCTATTATTTAATGTTTCTTTGTAATGTTGGTAAGAACTCTTAGATGAAGCATTTATTTTTTTTATAAATACGCGTCTGGATGTATGCAACACATTTATTTGTGTATGAATACGTTTCTTACTGCATATTTTTCTCGATGTAAGAATGTGTTTAGTAAATAACATAGTAAATAGAAATATATTCTGTGATCAAATTAGTAGATATATATACATAATCTGCCATTTAGTATTAAAGATTGATAAAGTTATTCAATTATTTAGAAGCAAATGATTTTCTATTTTTTAAATGTTTTCTTTGTTGAAAAATAAAAGGTACACTTAAAATTCCAAAATTAGTATATCCATTTATACGATTCGTATGATTAGCATGCAGTATGTAGAAATTTGTGCATGTGTGTGTAAGGATGGTGAAGTTCTACGCGAGGACGATGAAGATTCGGAAGCAAGAGATTGTGAGGGTGGGGATCATAGGGGAGGGGGTATTGGGGATACTTCTTCAGACTCTGGACGCTCCGTCGATCAACGTGGCTACCTTAGTGAATCTGAAGAACAGGTATCAACATACACAAAAATGTTATATTCATTTTTAGTTGAATGTAACGCTTTACATGTATATATATTTACACACATGTGCTTGTTATAAAGTATCTAATTATGAAATGTATGTAATGTTTAATATATGTAAGTTTCAGTTTATGCATTATTTTGATGATATATTTAGTTTTGATAAAGTTAAACCATATAAATTATACAAAAACAAATATATATATTCTAGCTTTTTATAATTGTTTAATTACTTATGTGTTGAAAATGTAAAATGTGTAAAAATGTGTAAAAAACGTAGAAAAAATTTATATATTCAAATATCTTTTCAGTAACATTCCAGCTATTATATATAGTATCAGGAAAAAATTTTAATTAAAACAATTTTTCTTCTATTTGTAATATGACATTTAACAAAGTATTTTATTTTCCAAAAAGGATTATTTTAACAAAATTAAACTTTTAATATTCTAAACTTTTAATATTCTACACGTTATTATTATAATTAAATATTCATAGCATGACGTTTTGAATTTTTTATATTAAAAGGTTTTTTTTGTAAAAAGAATTCAGTTTTGTCAACTTTTTGTTAACAGTTGGCATGAAATTGTTTTTTGTGGTACACTTATTATAAATTGTATACGTCAATGCTTTACAAATAAAAAATTCTATATTTAAAAGTATTCCCTTGAAAAATACATGCACAGCTTTGTGTAATAAATACACTAGTATCAATTTAATTTTATCTATGTATTTTATTTGATTAGAATATAATTTTATCTTATATTTACAGACTGATGATAATGTTGATAGTCCGGCTGGTTCGAGACGTTCATCAGAGCAGGTACAAACAATGTTTATTATACCTTACATAAAATCATTCTTAATGTTATTGTTTTATTCTTTTATTTCATTGTAAAAATTGTAGATTGAAAGTCCCAAACCTACTCTTCCCGTGTCTAACGATGAAGGATTGCCTCCTGGTTGGGGTATGCAGGTAGCACCTAATGGCAGAATATTTTTTATTGATCACAATGAGAGGGCGACAACCTGGATTGATCCCAGAACAGGGAGACCAAGTTCTATACCTAATCACATTGCACCATCGACGACATCTAGAAGTGACCTAGATCAGTTAGGACCACTTCCAGAAGGATGGGAAGAAAGAGTACACACCGATGGACGAATATTCTTTATTGATCACAGTATGTGTATAGTTTTTCACAACCCGAAAAAATCAACTTTAACTTTGGAAATTAAATAATGTTAATCATATCATGACATCTATTTATTTTTGTTTTTTTTTTTATAGATACAAGAACAACACAATGGGAAGATCCACGAATGTCTAATCCTCAAATTGCTGGCCCGGTATATGATTGCAAATATTTTATACGACTTTTTTTATATAACTGTAAAATGTATGCTTTAGAAGTTTGAAATATTGACGAACTTTTCAATTTTTCAGGCCGTGCCGTATTCCAGGGATTATAAGCGTAAATATGAATATCTAAAATCACAACTAAGAAAGCCTGTATGTATTTATTAAATAGCTTTTGTTAATATAGTTAATATTACATCTTTAATATTTTATTAATATTTTATTACAGAATAACGTTCCTAATAAATTTGAGATCAAAGTCGGACGGAACAATATTTTGGAAGATTCGTATCGTATTATAAGTTCTGTCAACAGAGTCGACATTTTAAAGACGAAACTATGGGTAGAATTTGAAGGCGAGGTAGGCTTAGATTACGGTGGCCTTGCAAGAGAATGGTTCTTCTTATTGTCTAAGGAAATGTTCAATCCATATTATGGACTTTTTGAATATTCTGCAACGTAAGTAGAAAAGTGCTAGGCTAATACTCTAACACACTGCAATTTGTAATACACAAAACAAACAATTCTTTTTATGTTCAGAGATAATTACACACTCCAAATTAATCCTTGTTCTGGCGTATGTAACGAGGAGCATTTGAATTACTTTAAATTTATTGGACGTATAGCAGGAATGGCTGTTTACCACGGCAAACTTTTGGATGGTAAGTCTCGATATTATAGTAAAATGTGATAAACATTAGTATTACACATTCTTATGCAATATACTATTTATTTTAGCCTTCTTTATCCGACCATTTTATAAAATGATGTTGGGTAAACCAATTGATCTGAAAGACATGGAGAGCGTTGATTCTGAATATTATAACTCTCTTCTGTGGATTAAAGAAAATGATCCTAGTGAATTAGAACTCACTTTCTGTCTTGATGAAGAAAGCTTTGGCCACACTTCCCAAAGAGAGTTAAAACCAGATGGTGCTAACATCCCTTTAACAGATGAAAATAAGGATGAATATATAAGTTTAGTTATACAGTGGCGGTTTGTATCTCGTGTGCAGGAACAAATGAATGCCTTCTTGGAAGGCTTTAATGCTCTTATACCACCAACTTTGGTAAAGATATTTGATGAACATGAACTGGAATTGTTGATGTGCGGTATACAACATATTGACGTAAAAGACTGGAAGCAGAATACTTTATATAAAGGAGATTATCATGCAAATCACATTGTTGTGCAATGGTTCTGGAGAGTTGTTCTATCCTTTAGTAATGAAATGCGTTCTAGATTATTACAGTTTGTAACTGGCACATCACGTGTTCCAATGAACGGATTCAAAGAACTTTATGGCAGTAACGGACCGCAATTATTCACAATCGAAAGGTGGGGTACACCGGAAAATTATCCAAGAGCTCATACATGGTGAGTGTTCATTTCTTTATTAAAATAATACATTTTCTGAAGTTTTTCAAATTAATTTTCTCTCTAAATATAATACAAATTCTATCTATTTTATATATTATATATTTCAATAGAGCATTCTCTCGTAAAATATGACCGTTTTTCTCGTTTTCTTTATATCATTATCAATAAAATAATTCTTCGCATATGAATTTGTCACATCACACACAAGTGTAAATTGTTGTTCCAGTTTTAATCGTATTGACCTTCCTCCGTATAAAAGTTATCAACAACTCAGGGATAAGCTAGTTAAAGCAATTGAAGGTTCTCAAGGCTTTGCTGGAGTAGACTAGCACGAAATACCTTTATTCATGATGATATCTGTAATATAATGTATATATTACATATACATACATATATATATAGAGATACACAGAAAAGTATATTATCTTAACATGATTCATATCTATTTAAAAATTTCCTGCACTTTAACGATTTAATTGTCTCTTAATTATGAGTGACAACATTAAAACAAATTGAAAACAATACGTTAAAAAGTTAAAATTGCTTTTTCTAAATAACTTTAACAAACATTTCAGCATATTACACTTTTCAAAATACCCATTTAATGAAAAATGCAAAATCTAAAATGCCGCTAAAACTCACAGTCAAATCTTAACTAATCTCTACTTTTAAAGATATGCCATATTTTTACTACCGCAACTTCTGGATTTCTTCTAAGAAGTGATTTGGCTGCTATAACAATGTGATATTACAATATTGATTTATTAATTGATTATTCTTATTTGTTAATAATGTCAAAATGTTGTTGTGAAATATAAATTGTAGAAATGGTTGTACACTATAGCAAAATGGACACGAATTCTTTTAAGGTGACATTGTAATCATGTAAAGACAATGAACAATTAATATCGTTTTGTGACTTGAAAGGAAAAAAACGAATATCTTATTTCTGCACATATATGTGTAATATATCTTCGTTAAATGATTAAAATTGTAAAAGTTTATTTTATGAAAAGCACATGGCTAAAATCAGGCATTTCTAATATTTTATAATTTTCACTATATTTTTATGGCACAAATTTATGGTGAACTCCACTTCTTTTTCTTATCTTTAACAATACACACTTTAACTTTGAATTTTCTCTTTTCACACAGTGGATTAATGAATTGATTATGATTCTTGTTGAAACAAAGATAAAACACTTGTGTATTTTACATGCATACATATATAAACTGACTTATCTTTCTTTATTTATGTATGTATATTGTTTTTTTTATGATATTTTTTTGATTATTAAATGATGGAAAGTAACATCTATTGAAAAAGAAATTGTATTAATCAAGAGCGTATACTCTAATAATGTACAGAGAAGTATAAAAACAATTGTTTGTTATTGATTACGTTGTTAGAAGAAAAGGCAAGAATCGATACAATTGTTAACTTGATCGAAAAGTTAATAAAGTTCAATTTTTATTTCAAGAATCGTATTTTATAAATGAGATAGAAATTGGCTCGTTTTTTGAAAGTTCTAAATAAGAGTAAATAAGCCAGTATAAGCCTTGTTTGTTTGGTTTTCCTCCAATGTTAGAAATTGCTTACTGTTGATGTTGGAATTGTACTTGTCTAAATAGACCTGTATTTGTATTCAATCAACATTTGTATTTTGAAGAGAATATTCTTCATATTATATCTTTGCACGGATAAAATGTCTGCCAGTTTGTATTAATCTAATTGTCCTCTACTTAGATTATTCTTACTTTATTTTATATTAAGAAATATGTAATTTAGAATAAATTGTTGTAAGAAAATAAATTCATATTATTTTATCGTATCAATGTATGAACTGGACATGTACTGGGCAATGTAAGATTTTAAACACACACAAATTTATTTTTCAGACAAATTACGAATTAGTGAATTGAGTTGATTGGTTACAAATGATATCATTAATCTTATTCATGCTTGCTTGTTCTTCTAATTTATAAGGATAGTTTAAGAACATATGCTGTATTCAGATAATGCAATACAACTGTATACAGTTTATTAAACAAAACATCATTAAACAAAGGAATAAGTCGATTACAAACTGTTTCCACAAATCTAATTGTTTGTATATTTTGTCAATATCTTAGTATGATACCCGATATAGTCTCGAAAATAATATGAAGATTACTCTTTGTCAATAAATGAAGATGGCGAAATTGACATCAGATATGAATGCCTATCTTGTATTATAACATTTATTAGCACACAGAATTAGCATATGCATTCTAAAGTATACAGAGTTGATAATAACATTCCATCCTATTTGTACAGCTTATTTTATTGCGAACAAATACGTCCCATTAGATAATAAATAATATTGTCATGGCAGAAATTTTGTGGCCTTAAATTCTGATTATGAGATTTCTTATTTTAATAAGTCTCTCGTTCGTAAAATCTAGATTTCTACGATAATAAGATGCGCTAATTATTCGCTGATAAGAGAATATCCTTTTGTACTCCTTCATATCCATATTAGATTTGCAAAGAAATATATATAGAATTACATTTAATATGTTAGTACCGATTAACTTGAAAATAACAAGTTTATTTCAATGTAATCTAATATGTTATGAAGTGCGAATAAAACCATCAGCTCCTTGGAGTAACAAACAACCAGCGCGTAATCTTCATAAAATGAAGATTAAAACAAATTAAACATATACAGTACAGTGTTCTCTGAGTCTGTTTTTCACAACTATTTGTTTTTCAATCTCTATTTTTTGCAACATAATCAAGCAGAAAGCAATGTCTCTTGATTTTTCAAATATATCTTTACAGATTTACTTATTACTTTACATATATGTATACAGATATATTATTCGACACATGTTCTATGAAATTCATAATTTGCAAATAGCCGCAAATAATAGAAATTGCATATAATGTTAGATGGACTTACAGAACATTGTCTGGCTGTAAGGCAGACGATGCGAGAGACTCGTAAATTTTTGTAATTTAGTATGAGTATATGCTCTATATTTTCTTGTATTATACTTATATATATTCCTAAACGAAACGCTAGAAATATGAAAGCAGTAATGATAAGACGCCCAATGAATTTAATAGTCGCAATTGGTATTCTATATATTGCATAAATGTTTTTACAGACAACAATGTTAAAATTGTATTTAATTGTATTTACTTGTAAATCGATGATATCAAAAACAAAAAAAAAGATTTTAGATTTATACATTACCAGATAGATATTTTGTTTTTGAAAATGACAGCATTTATGCTTGATCTATATAAATATCTTTAGCCCATGAAACTTAATGCCTTACGATAATTATATCACGCATTATAACATATCTACTTAATGTTGCATTATTATTTACCGATATAGAAATATGCTGAGCTTACTGCTACATCAGGTAGCTCTTATTTGTTTATGTACATTTAGTATATCTATCCATTTGACAATTTTCATTATCAATGTATTATTTAATTTACGAGGACGGAAAGAGACTTAATTGTTTCTAAGCTAGCTCAATGTGGTACACATATGTTTCATTTACATATACTTACGTGCACGAACTGAAAGAAATGCGTGACTTAATTACGTTATATTGTATTAATTCATCTGTAAATATAAAAAAAAATATATACATACATTGTAATATATAAACAAACAAGCGCTTCTATATTGCAGTTACAAGAAGTACGTAAAAAATATGCTTATCATGCTATGCCCTTGCGTTAAGATCATTAATTACTAACAAAATAACGATGGAGTTTTCAATCATGAATTCTAATCATTAATATTATATTTAATAAAATTAATATTACAAGGCAAATTATGTTCTTATATAATATTGTGGAAAACCAAACTATATATGCAAATAAATTATATTAAAAAGTTGTATTTGTTGTCTAATTCTTAATTTCAGTCATAGGTAGCAGAAATTGCGAATATGAATGGAAGATAATTTATATTAACCCTTCATTATTTATTTAATTAATTAATTTAATGTTAATTTGTTCCTATATATTAGATATTTTTGATAATAGAACAATAGAGATGGTAAAAATACTATTTTTATCTTTTAAATTATCTTATAACTTTAACTATCAAAAAATTTAGCCAAATAAACAATAATTTTTTATAAAATTTACAAATAATAGAAAAATTATAATCTAAGAACTCTAATTTGAGATATAAATAAGTTTTTATTTAAGGAATATTTCATCAATCCTCTTATCGTCTTCTCTCATAATATTTCATTATATATGTCTTTTCTTATACATTCAAAAAGGAATTATATGTTAAAATGAATCATTCATGAATCAGCGTAGATTTATATGAAATAAGTTAATATTGTATTATTACTCATCGTATTTTAGATTCAAATAACCCGCCTTGTACTATGTCAATGAATACGCCGCTATGCCGCAGGATGGCGCTACTCGCGAACACATCCGCAGAATCAAAAAAGACGGTTGGGAAGTGTAACATCACACATCGATTCGGCGGCTCGCGTCGAGCCCGAAAAAACTTTCCTCTTCCGCGTTCTTTTCCCAAGGCCTGGCCGTGTGTGGTTGCGACAAAGTCGCGTAGCCCGGCGTCGAACGTTGACGCGTACATACGCGTGTAGTGAGGTGTAAGTGATTCTGCTTGACAAACGTATATTGTTACGCCGATGGAAACGTGACTGTCCCTTAGTCCTGTCCTGCGGTGGTTCCTGTCACGGGCAGCAGCACTAGCAGCAGTGGCAACACATTGCAGCGGCAGCAACCCTCTCGTTCAACCCCCATCTTTCGAGAGTCTCGTCGCTGACACCGAGGGAGGGAAGCTTGGTGCGCTGATAACAGCCGCGGGACGGAGGTCACTGCATTGCGGTGAGTACGTCGAACTCTATATTTTCTTGCGCGCTTTTACACGGCACGCCTCGCCGACGGCGGAATCTCGCCGTGGCGCTTTTTCACTCCCTCGCGCTGCAAGCGAACACTACCGGCTGTCCCGGGTTCATTACCCTTCGGAGTCAAACGCGAGTGTCATTCAGTGGTCGCGGTGAGCTGTTCTCTATCTTACGGTTCACGGAAGCTCTACGGATGCTTCTACGAAATTCGAATTTCACTTTTCGAATATCTCGCGGTGAAAAGTTGATGAGTCATTGTTTGGAGCTACAATCGCTAGCGCGAGACATGTTGCCAATTTCAGGTAGTCATGAATATTTTTTAGCATTTACGCAGTATCTTGCGATCAATGAATATCTTGAATTTTAAAGTTTTACAATGACACACGCATTCAAGAATCTTCTTACGGATTCTTCTCATAGATGTCACAAGTACATGTATTACTCCAGAATAGCACAATTGTAAGTCTATACAAGTAATTGCATTCGTAAATGATATTGCAAATGAAGTTACGTGCTGCGCGTTATTTTTGCTTTAGCGAAAAATAGAGAAAACAAATAATTAATATTTTATCAGTACTAAAATAAAATAATAGAAATTATCTTAAATGTACTAAATTGCAATATGTGATATGCAACTTTAAGTGTGTGTGTGTGCGCGTACGTGTGCATGTGTACATATGATACAAAAAAATCCACACACATACACACCGCGCGTTTTATTAGTTATTTAAAAATTTATCCATATTCGTGTGATGCATTAAAGTGCTTTCTATATTTTGTTAACTACATGCATCAAGATTCATTTAAATTGCCCCTAAAAACATCACTTCTATAAAATATGAACTCAATGCAAATTATTCCACTGCGTGTAATTTAATCATCTACGAATATCTTTTATGCAAATTAAAACATTATTGTTGTTTAAAATTAAAATCTCATATAATGTGCTGAATTATTTATTTCATTAAAAGCAATTTTTTATTCATTAATTATGTATAATTAAGTATTACCGAGATTTAGGTCAGATGGCTATAACCAAAATTTAGATCATTTTACATCATATCAATGTATCTGAGAAAGATATAATCGTATTATACAATAGATTGGATTAGATATTGCTACAATTAGATTTAAAAATTATCTATTATACGTATTTATTATCATTATTTATTTAGCAAAGCTAAGTGTGGAAATATGCATAAAATTCACACAGAAACAATTTTAATCTTTGAGTGATGGTCGTTAAGATTAGTGGTCAATATAATTAATTGTTTTTTTATTACGACGTTATGCTAAGGCTACACTCATAATTTATCACATAGCATTTTTACCTATCACCTTTTATTAGCATTTTGTTGTTCTAACATAATATTCTAACATAATATTCAAAAGAAATTCTACAGCCTCATTGTATCACATCAAACATTGACATATTTACGTTACGTCAATTCTACTTGTCTGACAAAAGTGTCATGCAGCAATGAATATCGGATAAACTCTTTTAAAATGTTTTCTTTGCTACTGTACTTAATTAATTAATTAAGTATAGTAAGTAATTAATATAATTCATATTATGTAGTAATAATTACTCAGTTCTTCAATGTTTTTTATTTTCTTCTTATATACTGACCGTCGCTAATCTTGAAATAAAAATGTCAGTCTATTAATAGTTTTAAGTACGACGTAGTAGTGTAGTTTTATTTTGATGTTGGCTAGTCGCCGGTCGATTGGCGTGCAGACAGCACATGCATCTGTTTATTATTTAACTCACGCAATCACATATCACGTTAGGATCTCTGATCGGCATTATGCCGACACTTCTTCGTATTTTTCTCAATTTCCTTAAGCGGAACTCGCGCGTAAACAAATATCAAGATATAAAATAACCAAAAATTATGCTACAAAGTACATAATGCTGTGGAGCATTAATGTTCGATTAATTTTTTCATATTCGTGGAAGCACGTATCGTTCGTTTTGAACCATTTTGTCTGTTAACACGTATTATATCGCATTATCTTTTCGCGTTGCACATGCGATTTAGAGCTTGAAGTGTCGAGTGGACTTACAGGTTAATTAAGATACTCGATAGCAATCAACTATTTGATTATTGGTATACTCGAATTCGCGGTAAGCGCATTATGTGCTAATTGAAATTTTGAACAATAAACCGAAAATTGAGTACATATTACAGGAAAATTTCAAGTGTCAATATGCTCCGATATATTTAAAATTTTTCGGTATTAAGTTAATATTAAGTTAAGTTTTATTTCATGGTTTTATACGTCACGCGTAAGAATGTGTAAACAGTTTATATTTAGCATTTTTAAAGTAATTTTAAAACGGCTAAAGTTTGAAAAGGAACATAGACAATTTATTTAACTGCAAAGGCGAGAAGTTTAGTTTATGACATTTTTTTAAGATTGGCAAGTGAAGCGGTGTACAATTTTACTGACTGACTTTATAACTTATGTTGAAAACACTGTGCTCTCTTAAAATACTCTAGACACACTGTACTTTCTCAACATTTAGAATACACTGTACACTCGCTCTCATCTTTATATATATATATCCTTTACATTTTCAATTTCCAATCACATGTTCATACATTTTCGTTGTTTTCGCAAATCTTTAATCACATGCCGCATTCATTTTCATCATATGCCGCATTCGCTCAAAACAGTCATATCGCACAAAACAATCATGCATTAAACGTTCCAACATTCTCTCCCTCTGTTGCTTATTTTTTCACTCTCTCATTCATTCACTTACACGCTCGTACTTTACAATCCTACACATACTCGTCCAAGATGCATACAATAAGCGGCAATGATATCGTGACGTACAGTAATCCGTACATATATTATGTTAATTAACTCGAGATTGCATAATTAGTCGCGTTTTTTCGATTGATGAGTGCCCGCTTGAGTTAATGTCTGATGAGTAGTTGACTAGAAAATGGTGTTAAGAAATTAGCTAAAGTAAATTCTCATTTCTTGTTTTGCGTGACTAGTAATTAATTTATTCTACTTGCGATAATCTGACGCGACGATCATGTCATTGCATTTTGTCTTTCGTATCATTCTCGATATATTAATTCAAATTAAGTAACAGAAATTAACATTTTCAATTATTTTGTGATATTCTAAGTTTTCGCAAAAGATGTATATTTAAAGAAATATTACGTACAGACACTAGCGGATCCTGATGTCGATAATAGGGGGGGTTTTGACCTGCTTTAATGCATTTTTTACCAAGATTTTTGAAACGGATCCAGCAAAATTGATTTTTTTTAACTTGGAAGGGGGGGGTTTTACCCAGCCAGTGCGTACAGATATCATGCTGCTTTGACATAAGACTTTCATTTGCAACATTCTTGTTTGTATACTTGTATATTTGTTTACATCTTCATAGCTTTGTGAAAAGAATTATCTCGTCGCAATGTTTAGTTCAATTACGAATAACCACTTTTGATACATGACATTTACAATGTCGTTCTTAAACGCGCACGCGTTATCGAGCAAAACGATTTTTTGATTGCGATAAAACGAGGAGAACGTTGCTCGTAAATATCTGGCGGTGTACATCGCAAAATTATGTCGTCGAGCGAATCACGTTCCTCAGCGCGGATGCCGATGGTGTCGTTGTGTACGGCACGACAGTATAATACACCTGAAGCATCCATTCATTGTCCCGCGTTCGTATCCTCGCAGGACGCACGTTTCTGGATTTTAATCTAAATTCTTGTTTAGTTCGGCGTCCACTTTTTTTCCTCGTGGCGCAACGTCGACCTTCCTCGGGAAATTACTCTTCCTCTCTGTTATTTCCTTTTTTGGTTGCTATCGAGCATTTAAGCTTCGCGAATCGATATGTGTTATAATTACTGGATTCTCAGAAAACCGAAAAAATAGATAGCACGTCGTTATTTTCGAAATCTCGAACAATTTATTTATAAAAACCATGTTGTTCGCGACGCGGCATTTGTAGCGCAACTTGATAGGTAAACATTTTTTTTTTTTTTTTAAACGCTTTCTCTAAAGGATTGAGAAAAAATTATCTAATGCCGAATATAGAATGTATCTCTGAAAATCAGTTATTAGATTTCTGTACCATTACATCACATTACTGTCCAGTTAAAAATACGCGACTTCAAATACAATTTTTTAAATATGCACTTCATCATGTTACTTGTCAAATTTGTAATTATTTCATCATGTTACTTGTCAAATTTGTAATTTCTTAAAAATTAAAGCTCCTAAGTATCGAAAATAAATATACAGAACTTCCCACAATGCTATCATCAGATTTGCGAGGACAAAATTTCAACTCTGATCCGTTTTATACGTGACAATACTATATTCACTAGTCATGGTAATGCGACACTATTAGCGCGAGTAAGTGTTTCTCTATTTCATATCGCGATACCATCCCGCGTTGAATGGGCATTAAGAATGCGGCCGAATGGCTGAAAGGACTCGAGTGAAAAGGGACGAATTAACAGGCAGCCGGAGGACGTAACTGCAATGAAATGGCACGATAAACGCGCTAATACCGTCGACTCGCGCGAGTCGCTGTGGAAACCGCGGAAACTGGGAAAACCGATAGACAGCGGGAGGGAGAGACGCCGCGACAAAGCCGAAAGTTATCCTAGATTACAATTTAGGTACACAAAGCACTGACGTCTCTGCTCAAATGAGTTATTATGCAGCAACGCGACGATCAGTTGCAAGACAGTGGACGCACGCTTTTGACAGTCGTCTCCATTGTGCGGAACGCCTCGTTGTTTGCGTAATAAAGTCACCAAAGTGACCTCATCTGCTTTTACCGAAAAGAAAATTAATTCGTCGCCTTATGTTCATCAGAATTTGCGAACTCGAAAGTTCATCTCTTATCGAAAAGTTCTTCCGATTCGTTATCAATCGATTCCGAGATGGAATAATGCGTGAATTTATTAAAAGATCGTCACAGATGTTGCGAATAGT